AGTGCTGGGATTAAAGGCGTGCGCCACCACGCCCGGCTATGAATTGAATTTTTAACATGAACTCATTATATCACTGTTCTTGGTAATAGAATATGTGGTAAGTTTTAACAATTTTGGAAATTGTTGTCATGTTAGATTTAGAAGTAAACTTCTTTACCATGGTTATTTAAGAACATCATTTTTTAAGCCGGGCGGTGGTGGCGCACGCCTTTAATCCCAGCACTGGGAAGGCAGAGCCAGGCGGATCTCTGTGAGTTCGAGGCCAGCCTGGGCTACCAAGTGAGTTCCAGGAAAAGGTGCAAAGCTACACAGAGAAACCCTCGAAAAACCAAAAAAAAAAAAAAACAAAAAAAACAAAAACAAACAAAAAAAATCATTTTATTGCAGCTTCTATTAATTTTTCTACCTCTCTCTATATATTTATAAAATTCTTTATCTTTTTCTTTCTTGATAATAATCCCTTAAATTATGCTTTTTAATTTATGAATTTAAATAATAGTTAATATTTTCAGTTTGAATAAGTAAGTAAAGTAGATTTTGCCAATATTAGAAAGTCATTTTTTCAAAAGAGGATAAATGATCAGAACTGGCTAGGTGACTATTAAAGCTTATGCAGAATGAAGTTTATGAAGAATCAACATGAAATGTTTGAAATCATAAAGCTAATACTCTAGGTATGAGACACTCATAATGTAGGAAAATGATGACCACTTCACTTGAATTTCAGTCCAATTATGAGGATAAGCCAAACAGTATTATTAGAGTTTTCTTAATGAAGATATAAATTACATACTCTAAAATACACACTTTTGAAATGTATTCTGAATTTTAGTACATCCACTGTCTTGTACAACCTTCACCATTATCTATCAAGAACATTTAGAAGTTCACTGTTAGAAGGCCTATACTTAATCCATCCCCTGTGTATTTCCTATTGGATTCTCTAGGAAATATGGGCTTTTCTCCACCATCTCACAGACTTGTTTATTCTAAATACTTCATATAAAAAGGATCATGTAACATGTGACCTTTTCTGTTTGGCATCTTTCATTAATCATGTTATTTTGTAAGGTTCATTCATGTTGTAGCATGTATTAGTACTTTACTCTTTAATATTGAATAAAATTCAGTTGCATTGATATATTTATATAACTGTTCATCTTTTTATGGTAATTTTCTCTTGTTTCTATATTTAGTTATTATGAACTACTCTTTTATGACACTGTGAACAATTTTGTATGAACATACACTTTCAGCTTTTATAAACTCATACACATGTGTTTGGTCATATTATAATTCCAAAATAATAACTTTTCTTTTTTTTTTTTAAGATTTATTTATTTATTATGTATACAGCATATGTGACTACAGGCCAGAAGAGGGCACCAGGTCTCATTACAGGTGGTTGTGAGCCACCATGTGGTTGCTGGGAACTGAACTCAGGACCTCTGGAAGAACAGTCAGGGCTCTTAACCTCTAAGCCATCTCTCCAGCATAACTTTTCTTTTATTGAAAATAGATAGTATATTTTGATTTTGGATTCCCCTTCCTCTATTCCTCCCAGTTCCTCCCCACCTCCCTTCCCATTTAAATCCACTTCTTTTCTGTCTCTCATTAGAAATGAACAGACTTCTAAGAGATAATATTAAAATATAACAAAATAAAATACAATAAGATAAAACAAAATGATTTTTTATTAAAACAATAAAAATGTTATAATATTTTCAATTGGACAGATTTTTTTATGAAATTTTATTCACAAAATTGATCTTTAAAAGTTTTTAATAAGGAATACAAATGAGAAAATATAGTAAGTCAAATATAATCTTTGTTAGTGTAATAGTTTCTGGATGTATTTTTTCTATGAGATTATTAGTAGCAAATAATTGAGTGTGACATCCTCAGATATCAACTCTGTTAATTCCACATATAATTACACAAACATACACAAATATAGGTTTAAATTTTCTAGTCAAATTAAGCAGGAAGTTAACAGTAAACATGATAGTGCTATTCTACACAATTATGTCAACTTGACACAGGGTTGAGTCATCTGAGATAAGGGAGCCCCATCTCAAAAACTGCCTCCATGAGATAGGGGTGGAGGCAAGCCTGTAAAGCATTTGCTTATGTAGTGATTGATGGGGGAAGGCCCAGCCCATTGTGGGTGAGGTCATCCATCCTTTGTCTCTTGCTTCTGGGTTCTATAAGAAAGCAGACTGAGCAAACCACGGGGAGCTAGCAAGTAAGCAGCACCCCTCCGTGGTCTCTGTACCAGCTTCTGCCTCCAGATACCTGCCTTGTTTGAGCTTCTGTCATGACTTCCTTCAATGATAGACTGTGGTGCAGAAGTATAAAGCAAATAAACCTTTCCTCCCCAATTTGCTTTTGATCATGGTGTTTCATCACAGTGACAGAAACCGTAATTAAAACAAGTACATAGTCTCCAACTTATAATGGTTTAGTTGATGACTGTTTTTCTTAATGGTGGCATGAAGTCACTGTAGACTCAGTAAAAATTGTCCTTTGAAATGTAAACCGTAATCTTTTCCTGAACCTGAACCAATGTAAACTGTTCCCACCCTTACATCAGA